TAGTGTATTACCTAAAGGAGAGGGTGTTTGGAGAAACAGAGAGTTAGTTTGTGACCTTGGTGAAGCTGAACTCACACAAGCAACCGATGGAGGCGGCGGTAAACCAGCGACCGGCATGATCTGTGAGGTGAAAGTAGTGTTTTTATGAATGGAGTCTGGTGTGTTTGTAGAGATCATAGAGAACAGCTCGAGTTCCCCTCAGAAAGGTCTGTCTGACATCACGGTAAAGAGGTGAAGACAGCGTTCACTTTAACTGATAGACATTCTTTTAGGGGTCTAAAATACGTCCACAGCAGAACATTACTCTGCTCCTGTGCTGGTTCTCTGGTTCTACTGTAGTAATACACCGACTTATGGAGAAGTACCTTGAACAAGCAACCTTCTAAACGTCACAATTGTCACTTTAATGTTGTGTTCTTGGACGTCTTTATAAACTGCAGAGCCGTGTCGGATGTTGTCTGAACAAACAGCTGAGGAAGAGAGATAAAAGAATGAAACCCTGAGATGATGTAACTTTAGTGTCTGATGACTGAACGGGACCGGAAACGCCTGCAAGCACTCTGTTGCTAAGAAGAACAGTCTATATGGATATAATCCACCATTTACATATTAATAACTCTATATTCAAAGAATCAAAACAAAGAAACCAATCAAAAGGAAGAATAAAATCGAGGAAATTCTACTTTCTTGCAGAGATTATTTGTTACACAATAAATACAAAAACAACAAATGAAAATAAAGAAATAACAAAATATTTGTTTATTAAATCTATGTTAGTCACAATCTATCCAATAAACTAACATTTCAATCACATTTCATACACGAATGCGTGTTTATTTCTGATAAAGACTTCCTTCATGTAACAATGTTTAAGACAGTAGAGCGGTGATAGAAGGTGGATTAAACAAGCAGCTTTCTATAAACCTATGAATCATAGTTCAGGACACGTGGTCTGGTTTGTGGTCTGGTTTGTGGTCTGGTTTGTGGCGTTACCTCGTTCTTCAGTGAGCCGGTGATGTAGAGTCGCTCCTGCTCTGAAATCCGTGGGTGAGTGTTCGGACTGTCAAAGGCGAGGAAAGACCACAAGAAGAACCACACGAGGCCGACAGCACCTGGACACACGAAGAAGAAAGAGCTCATTTAAAGTGACAGTGAGGAACCTTTACCTGGTCCTGAACCAGGCTCAGTGTAGTCCTGGTCCTTTATCAGACCTCCATCAGTAAAGAGACCATCAGAGAGAAGATGGTCCGTTTCTATAGAGTTATTCTTGATGCTCGTCATCGGAGCCACCGGGTCCGATTCTGGTGAAACCAGATGAACTCATGCAGGTTTACCAGAACCTCCTTCAGCTCAGACTCCAGCAGAGACCAGTCCACCGTGGACAGACCCAGATCCTCCAGCAGAGACCGGTCCACCGTGGACAGACCCAGATTCTCCTCCTCCTCCTCCAGGAGCAGAGCTTCTCCTCTCTGGGAGCCAACACCGACACCACACTGCTGGAGACCCAGGATGTATTGCTGGACCCGCTGGAGGGAAGGGAGGCACGGGAGAACCAGAACCAGGACTGAGAGGGGCAGACTGTCAGACCCTGCTGCAGTAGAATGAGAGGGTTTAAAGGGAGTCTGGTGCTGAGACACTACCACTTTAGTCGACAGGGGGGCGCCAGAACCAACACAAGATGAAAGTTCCTCGTAGTAACTTTAACCGCAGGTCAACATTCACTTCTGCTGTGTTTCCATCTCATGTTCTTCTTCAACTTGCTGAATCATCGTTTTCAGAGACCAAAGAGGAACAAAGGAACAGACGGTGGAATCAGCATCAACCTGTGACTCATCAATGGAGAGGTCACTTCAGCTCATAGAAATATGATGAAAATAAGTGTTTTCAATCAGTTCCAGATGTTGCTTTGATGTAAAGTTTTCATAACTTATTCGTGACAGCGAGATATTATTTTTAGGAAAGACAATCCGTGACCTCAGTGGTGAGTCCACACAATCTCATCAGAGCTCAAAGTATCTAAGTCTGAGTGTAAAAGATCAATGAAGGCATTCTGAAGGCTTCAAGTCTTCATGATGATGTATCTTTATAACATTAACTCACAATGTTTTGGTGAATTTATCCTGAATATCAGCTGCAGCGTCCACAAAGAGTTCAGTTACTCAGATGTTAAGATGTTAAGATGTCGTCTGTGTGGATAAAGACGTAAATCTTGCAATTTTTAACACCTGCAAGACAAAAACAGCCGCAGAGGAACCACCGAAAAAAAAACAACATTTGAACAACTTTTTTTGTTATCAAAATGCAATAAAATCAAAATGTTCCATTAAAGAAAAGTTATAAAAATGTTCATGTATGATGTCATTCTAGCTGTTAGAAAGGCAGATGACCGGTGCTTCTCTAACGGCTGCACGTTCATCACCTGAAATGTTTCCAGTTAATGTTTTTCTAACTAATGCGTCATGAGTAGAAAACTGAAACGTAACACTAAGATTACACACTAAGGCTACTGTGTGAAAGAATCTCATCGATTCCTAAAAGGTAATCTGGGAACTGTGTTCAATCCCTCACAACTCAAAACAACATACCAACATAGAACCAGATGCATCAAACGGAGGTAAAGTTAGTGTTTTACCAAATATATAGAAGACGTAGGTCCAGTCCAGGTAGAAGCAGATTTCACCGGACAGAGGGAGAGAGACCACCGTCCCCAGCTGGGCTCCTGAGATAGAGGAGAGAGAACATCTGTATCACACAGCTGTCTGAATGCATGCTCAGTGTTCAGTGCTCTAGTGCACATGGTGAGGGTGAGACTAATGCAGCAGACTGATGGGTCATCTGTTGCTTTCTGTTTCTCAGTAAATAAATATCAGAAAATGGTGGAAAAATGTCTTCAAACTGCAGCTTTGTGCTGCAACCAGCAAATATTTCACATTTCTGTTGGACAAAACGATTCAACTCACTGCTCTGTTACAGAAACTACTTTTGTTAATGCTGACGTTGTGTCTGTGTGTGTTACCGATGTAGGAGATGGTGAGCAGGCGGCTCCTCTCCAGCGGTGGAGCCCAGGCGGCCCACATGGTGTACATGGAGGGGAACGTCACTCCCTGGAGACAAACAACAACACGAGCACCAACAGCAGCGTCATCTGTATCAGTTTGTCTGTGTCTATAACTCCATTAAGATCTTGTCATTTAACACCAACAGCTTGTGCAAATAAACAAAAACAAATACTAAACGAACCCGCCTACCTCTCCGATCCCTTCCAGCACCCGGACAGCGATGACGTAGCTCGCACCCAGGTCGGCGGCCACGGGGGTGAGCAGAGTAAAAACTACAGTTCCCAGAATCCCAAAGCCCATCAGCCACTTGGGTCCATAGCGGCCGGCCAGGTAGCCGCCGGGGATCTGGGTCAGGATGTATCCGTAGAAGAAGGAGCCCAGGATCCAGCCCTGAGTCTCAGAGTCCCAGTTGTACACGCTGGCCTGAGAGGGGACGACAAGAGTTCATGTTGTTGTTGTTATTGTAATTAATCTGTAGATGATTAATCAACTATTTGTTTGGTCTATAAAATGTCAGAAAATTGTGAAAAATGCTCAAGATGACATCCTCAAATGTCTGTACTCTGATATATTTGGATAAAAACAGTCATTGAGTAAATAAATCACAAAATATTCACATTTAAGAAGCTTTAAGCATTATTCACACATTATTTAAGCATTATTCACACATTTAGGGATTTTACAAAGACGGACAATTTAAACTTTTAAATGCTTTAAAAAAAAATGTTATTTGTGTAAATATTCGGCTCCCTAATCAAACAGTTTACAGGATATTAAACCTTCGGTTCCTTTATAACACATTTCATACTTGACTGACTTCTCTACAGAGTTTGTATGAAGGTAATAAAGTAGTTTATGAATATGAGATATGAGTTTACAGATATTTAAAATCCCTCTTCGTCATCGTGGAGTTTGGTTTAAGGTTTTTCCCGGTTACACCTTCAGTCTGTGTGCAGATCTCTGAGTTACACTCGTCGTCTTTTTGATTCTTCAGTTTTGTTTGTTTATTTAAGATAATGCAAGGACACAACTCGACAAAATACATAACATAGGTCTCTTACTTATTTTACCTTTAATGCAGGAGCACATCTGGATGATTGTAGTTATTGATGTTATAGAGTGAAAATCTAAAGAGATCCAGTGAACTGGGACTGTTTCTCAGCGCTGTGGCCCAATAACACGTCATGTTTAACGGTCAAACCACATGAAACATCAGAAGGAACTGCTCCAGCTACGCATCGCTTCCAAGACAAACTGATGAATATCAGACGTCTGGTCTCCTGCTTCACATATTCCGGACATATTTAGGGTTTTTCCATAAAGAGCAGACAAATATGGAAAAACGTTGCTGTCGAGCGTGTGATTGTTTTCCAATAGTTGTCTCTCTGAAATGAATAGTTTTAGCCTTTTTAATAAGACAATACATTTTTAAATCTCAACCAAGGAACAATAATATTTTACGTAGTCATATCTTATGCACATTCATTTTATGTTCTCTGTAATATTCAAATATTATAAAGGTGGAGGCTTCAAATAAGACCAGTTGACTTTTTGCATCTTCCTGCACTGAGACATTATTTATTTTATTGTTTAAATTGTGCAAAACTAAACTAAACACACACGTAGCAGTGACGTGACAGTGAGAGCCTCGCTGTTTGTGATGACCTGACTGTGGTAGTCGGTACTCACTCACATCTTAAAGTTTAAAGTCTTTTCAGGTAGTGAACGTGTGAATATGGTGCCATTAAAAAGAGCTTCATTTGACTTAATCTCTGAAGGGAAAGCTCTCGTGTGGGATTAAAGCGCTCCACTGCGCTCGTGTCGTGGCTCTCACCGTGTGGTTGTGTTTGGGCCGTGCTGGGTTGGCGTGAGCCGGACACACCGAGCCGCTGTGGTTGGTGCTGGAGTGGCGGGTGTTGTTCAGCATGTCCACCATGGCCACGCTGAGGTTCACCCGCAACGAGTAGACCACGAAGAAGCCCAACGAGGAGAGCAGCGCCAGGCCGTAGCGGGAAGAGCAGCATGCTGGGGCTGCAGGGAGATATACACATGAAACAATATAGATGAAGGTATTACGTAACATTATCAGAGGGGAGAGTCCATGCAATACAACGTTCAACACGCAAGCAGGAGCTCATCTTTGTGCTCCGTCACTGTACAGAAAAAATAACATTTTAACATCAGAATGATATTTAGCTTTATGTTAATGCTTTCTTCTTTATTCACTGAATATAAACCATCGAGTGAGACTTATATTGAGCTGCAACTATGACTCCATAGTAAATCATTTATAAAACGTGTTTCTTACTCATTCTAATCTGCAGAATGAGAGACAGAGAGAGAGAGAGAGACAGAGAGACAGAGAGAGAGAGAGAGACAGAGAGACAGAGAGAGAGAGACAGAGAGAGACAGAGAGAGACAGAGAGAGAGAGACAGAGAGACAGAGAGAGAGAGACAGAGAGAGACAGAGAGAGACAGAGAGAGAGAGACAGAGAGACAGAGAGAGAGAGACAGAGAGAGACACACACTTTGGTGTACAATAACTCTGGATTGCATAAGGTGCTATATTATGTTAACTACTGCTGCTACATAAGCACCTCCTCATATGAAGGACAGTGACATCACAATCTTTAGTGTCTTTTTCTGGCAGGTTGCCAATAACTACACAGAAAACTAAATGTGTTTAACAAAGTAAAAGTTGCTCTACTGGAACCTCAGGACACTTTGTTAACATGCTACAACTTTTATGAAACTTAACTCATGCAAACATGATATGACTGAAGATAAACTCAGCAGGTCTGTCTCATGATGTGAGGTCAGAACAGGTGTCACTAAACTCATGACGTAATCAATAAACGTGAGCATGAGGCACAAGATGGACATGGAGAGAAGGATGTTAAAAACCTTTATATTCAGATCTAATTTGGGTATCCTGCAAAATGAGAGACAGAGACAGAGAGACACAAAGACAGTGAGAGAGAGAGAGACAGAGAGAGACTAACTTTAAATGTTTACCTTATAGTCACTGAAGGTAAACACGTTACATAAAGTAATAAAGTAAAAAGTTATTTAGTTTCCTATATTTTTATAATTAAACATCTAAACACCACGTGCCTTTGTAACATATGTTACCCTAAACGTTACGCTGACCTAACGTTAGCTTCTGTTAGCTTGTATATACTTTATTTATTTTAGTTTCACCTCTCGTGACTTTGTCTTCGTGTCCTCGGTGAAGCAGTGGTGTGTCGTCTCCCTCCGTGTCGGACCCCCCGTTGCGCTCCATCTTCTCCGGTTAAAGTTAACCTCTTCTACCGCATCACGGACCGAACCCCGATGACAACAACAGAAGAAGAAGCAGGAAGCTAACGTCAGTCAGCTGAGCGCCACTCGATAGGCCAACTGCCGTCACGTGACGAGGGGCACGGGACCGGAAGTCGATTGATTGTATTTTTTTTCGTTATTTTATTTTTACTCCTACTACGCAAAAAAAAAGGGTCACTGAAAAGCAAAACACAAAAAAATCCACCCAAAAAAAAAAAAAAGATTAAATTTTGTTTTTGCTGGCGGAAAAAAAGAAGAAAAAAAAGATTATGATGATTTTTTTTTCTTTCTATAGCAACTGGAAACATGTGGTCGGTGTTATGGTTACAGATGGATGCACCAAAAGTTTTTTGTTTTTTTTTGCTGGTGAAATAAAAAATAAAAAAATCAGTTTTAAATAATTATAAATATTTATTTATTTACTTCTTTTGGTGGATTTTTTGAAGTGACCTTTTTTTTTTTATTAAAAAAAAAAGAAAAAAAGTGTCGAGAAGACCGGAAACCAGAAAAAAAAAACTCAAAAAAAAAATGTGTACTGTGATTTTTTTTTTGTTTTATTTGCTGGCGGAAATGGGCTTCCAAACTGTATCGTATGATGCAAAAGTATATTTTTTGTAGTTATTTTCTCAATAATAATAATTTAAAAAAAGGTGTTGGGAAAACCGGAAACCTTGAAAAAACCCAGTGCTAAAGTATTTAGATACCAAAGTAATACCAAAGTGTAAAAATACTCTGTTACAAGTAAAGGCTATGAATTCAAAATGTTACTTAAGAAACAAGTATTAGCATCACAATAAAGTACAAAAAAGTAAAATTACTGGCCCTTTTTAAAATCATATATATGTTATTGGATTATAATTATTGATGTATGAATGTACTCATCACTATAATGTTGTAGCTGGTGAAGATGGAGCTACTTTTAATTATTCTACATAGTGCTAAACAGCTAAACCTACAACCATAACATCATAATCAGTGTTAGTTCATTTATATTTTGTAATAATAATCTAAAACATTTTAGTAAAAAGTACAATATTTGCCTCTGAGAGATAGTGGTGTAAAGATAAATACTCAAGTAAAGTACAAGTACCTCAAAATTGTACTTAAGTAAATGTACTTGTACTTTCCACCACTGATAAAAGCATGATAAAAACAAAGACTGTAAATCAATGACCACCTATGTATGGTCTAAAGAACAGTCTATTCTACTCTACAACATTAGATAACCGGAGATCAAAGGGGCTAAATGCCCCCATCAGACCAAGAGGGGTCTTCTAATGATTTCAATTATTGGTAAATAAGACACAAATAAACAGTAGAGTTCATTCTCCTCATGTACACTCGCATGTAACCACAGCATCAGATGATGAGGAATTATGTAACATTCAAACACATGTTTGTTGTTGAAATGAGGGATGACTTATTGTCTCCACTGCAGACAGAGAGACACATCCTGTGGATATGAAGACAGACAGACAGACAG